GGACCCCCCCCGAAGGGGCACGGGGGGCCCTTGCTGTGGGGAGCCCCTCAGACACCCCTCATGAAGGGGAAGGGGGGTCCTAGCAGTCGGGAGCCCCTCAGACACCCCCCGAGAAGGGCACAGGGGGTCTCTGCTGTGGAGATCCCCTCAGACACCCCTCATGAAGGGGAAGGGGGGTCCTAGCAGTGGGAAGCCCCTCAGACACACCCCCCCCTCCAGAAGGGCACAGGGAGTCTTTGCTGCGGGGATCCCCTCAGACACCCCTTGTGAAGGGGAAGGGGGGTCCTTGCTGTCAGGATCCCCTCAAACCCCCTGGAAGGGGAAGGGGGGTCCTTGCTGTGGGGAGGCCCTCAGTCCCCGTACCCCGTCCCCAGAGAAGGGGCCATGCCCCTGGTGTCCCAGGAGGCTGGCATCAAGCCCCTGGGTCCGCCCCCTCTCCCCGAGACTGACGGGGACCCTGCGGGGCTGGGCCAGGCCGTGCTGGCAGGGCACCAGGGACGGACGGTGCTGAACATATTTCATGGGTAAAAATAGAGCGTTGGCGTTCAGAGCCAGCTGTCACCTGCCCCGCTAACCGGCAGACACGTTGCTGCCGAGGTTATGCCTTTCCTTGCAGTTCCTTGGGATGCTTCCTCTCCCCCGCCCTTGCTGGGTAGTGAGATTTGCTGTCTTCCCCCTTCCACCATCCCTCAATTTGTGTCCGTTTGCGCATCAGTAGGGCGGCCACCGGTGCGTCAGGGTTGTAGCTCGCAGAGAAGTGCGCTGGCTTATATGGGTCTGGGTGACACCAGCAGACCTGTAGGATCATGAGTGCTGTGGTTGAACTCCAGAACAGCCCTCCTGTGCTTTGTTTTCTCGTCTCTCTCTTGATTTCCTCCCCCAGCTCTCTCCTGTCACTGACTGACTCTTCCTCAAACTAACCAATGCTCGTACTCAGCTGCCACAAAAGCTCAGGGCATTGTTTTTCCATCTGTTGTTGCTTTTAATTGGATTTTCTTTTAAATGCTATTTGCCTGGTTTATTTATGGAGGGGGAAAAAAGCGTAATAACGCATCTCTTTTTAGAAGTATTGAGTTAGGCTTGTCTTTACACAACATGTTTAATGTTCTGGATGAGCAAGTGACTCCCCCTCCCCATTCCTCTACTGCACCCTCGGAAAGGGCACCTTTGGCAAAGACTGTTTTTGGGCTAATCTGTTTCAGACAAAAATAGACAGTCTACAAATTATTTTTCTTATGGTTACAGTGATTTGAGCTGTAATAGTTAGAGCCTGATGGTGGCTTTCAGGTGGGACCAACCCAATGGGACGCGTAGTACCGCTTAAACAGTAAGGGAGTTCTTCCTTGGGAAGCCTTGAATAACCGAGTGGGTTTTTTTTATCGTTGTCTTTTCCTATTCCTTTCAGACAGTGTTTGTTGGAAGGAACAAGCCGCAGAAAGATCCCCTGAGCTCCTTCCGCTGGCAGGGCTTCAAGCTGGAAGAATATCTCATTGGCCAACCCATTGGGAAGGGCTGCAGCGCTGCTGTCTATGAAGCAGCTATTCCTTTCTCTCCTGATCATCGGGGGCGTGCGGAGAGCAGCCGTCTCGCAGGGCAGGGGCCAGCTGTGCAGCAGCCTTGTGGCTCAGCTTCGCAGGCGGATGAAGAGGAGCCCGTGGAGAAACACCAACCGAAAGAGGCTTTTCCGTTAGCTATCAAAATGATGTGGAACATTTCGGTAAGGAGTCAGTTCTTGGTCTCCTTGTCTGTCACTGGGAAAGTCTGGCTGAAATGTTTAATGCTTAAGTGTTGAAAGCGCTAATTATGTAGCGCGCGATGAGCGTGTCAAAACAAAGCTGTTGACATGTGACATTGGAGATGTTGATTGTTAGCAAGCAGTCCCAGAGCAAGGTAATTAGCATTCATCATTACTCTGGAGTCGGCCCTAAGAGCTGCTGGTGGTGGTGTTGGTTATAGGGGTGATGTTTTCTGGAAGAAAAGCTTTTCTGAAGCTGGCTGCGATGGCAAGGTGTAAGAAATGGAAAGCCGCTGCTGCCAGCGCTTTAGGAATCGGTGTCCTTGGTGTCAGCACAGAAATAGATTTTCTTCTGCAAAGCACGGCTGAGGTGCGAGTCAGCGGTCACAGGGGCAGAACAGTAACCTGCTTGCTGGGTCCCCTTGCCCTGAAGTGAATGGGCAAGATCTGCGCTGGCGTTGCAGCCCCGGCAACTCGCTGATGATCCACCCCCTCAGTGCGGCTATTCCACATTTAAAAAAAAAAAAAGCCATGTGGCTTTTCCCATTGAAGAGGTTTTGTGGCACTTGATGTGACAAGTGGATATTCTAAGAGAGTCTTCTGAAATGCCAACGTCTGAAACCCCTTGGGCTCCAGAAATACCCTGGCATTAGGCTGTGGGCTTTTCCAGTCCGGTTTTGAAGTTGAAAGTGAGTGTTAATGTATAGCTCGGAGTCCCTTGGTAAATTCTTTAGGTAGTTAATTGCCTTCCCCGATTTTCAAAGCAGAGAAGGGAGTCCCTT